GCAAATGTTAGTTGATAAAAAAAAGCCCAATAACTTATTTACACAACAAGCTTGAAATAAACTCTTCATATTATTTCCTCTTATTATACAGTAAGCAATCTGAGGCTTCTGTTTTAAGGAATGAGCTTCTACCACAATAAATGAAACCCTACGGAGAGCAGTGATGTAGGCTGATGTTTTTTTTAAAGCAAATTCAAGTATCAAGCATAATTTACCTACATTTGATTGATTTTTCTAATTTAACTTATAAGGCAATATACCTCGTCTCTAGTGAGCGGCCCAGCCCTTCGTATGTTTTTCTGTATGTGGACAGCCCTTCTCTACAGCATGATGGAGCCCCTTTACGAAGCGTAAATATCGAATGATGTGCTGTGTCTCCGCAGGTTGATGCTGAGGGATCTCGGGCCCTGGGTGTGTCACATACGCTGGCTCATTTGGGTCATGGCTTGCGTCGGATCCATGTATGTCTTCCTTTTCCACGAGAGGTAATACACTCCGCCTCTCTGCTCCTCCCCGTCCTCCAGTGTTTACAGGAAACACCGGGCAGCTGTTTGAAGCAGAAACAATTACATAGAAGATGTGAGGAGGTGTGGTATTTGTTTTAATGTCCTCTGTTGTTGTTTTTACCTGCAGGTACAAGCTGATAGAGCTGTTGGGATATGTGTCCATGGGGGTGGTTCCCGCGTTGGTCATACTATCCATGGTGAGCATAAAGGTTTAAACGTGGACTTTCTTCCGCTTTTAAGGGAATAAACAAGCTTTATTCAGTGAGCCCTCTTCCGCTGCTTCAGGCTTCCTGCTATTGTTTGGGAATCGGACACTGAACATGTGTTCTTTTGTTTGTTTTTGCCCATAACCTACCACTCTAGCTACTGGAACGTAACCATTTATTCTTAAATGACTTAGTGTCAGGTATAAGGTTGTATAACATTGTAATTTATTCATAAATTCAGCACTTATAATACCAGTAAGTGCAGTTCAAAGTGCTTCAAAGATGACTGACAAGCCGTAATTTAAGACGGGAGAAGATTGACGTGAAAAGAAAAGAAAAAACAAACCAAGAAAATAAATACAAAATTAAATATCAGCACTATAAAATACAATGTTACGAATGAAATACAACAAAATAGAAAATAAATTAAAATAATATCTATTAACCGTTTTTTTATTAAAAGCCTGGCTAGCTAGGTTTTAGGTTTATATCTTATTTAAAGATTTGAAGCCATAAATAACTTTTAAAGTAACTATCAAAACTCAGTCTATAAGGAATACAAATTACTGTTTGTCCTTAAATTACTATATATTTAGTATATTAGAATATATTGTATTTATTTGGGATACAAACATCAACTGTTAGAACCCTCTTTTTATACTTCGTTAGAGTTGTTATATTATTACTATTATCTTGTACTTTTTCATTTGGTTATAGCCTACGACTTCACGTTTGCCTTCTGTTCCAGGGTGAGCGTTCAGGTGTGTGTGAGCTCGCAGTGGGAGGCGTCTTTTACACGGTGGGTGTGATCTTCTTCAAGAGCGACGGACTCGTCCCCTTCGCTCACGCCATCTGGCATCTCTTTGTCGCTGCTGGAGCCTGCGTTCATTACTACGCCATCTGGAGGTACCTGTACTTACCGGGGCCGCCGCTGAAGACCTCCAGGTGACTGGCTGCTCTATGAGGTCAGCTGATCTGCATCATGTGACTAACTGGGAAAAACAGGACATTTAATCCATGGGAACATTGTGTTTTGACTCATGAAGGAAAGAAATGGTGCTGAGGTGATCTCATCAGATGAAATTCTCCACAGCTGGGGGACCAAACACTAAAAGACATTTCTACTCGGGCTGAGCGATGCGGAGAAAATCTAATATCACAAAATGTCTGATCAAATACCGTGATATTGATATTCGTACGATATTGTAGGGTGAACTATTGGTGATTTCACAAAATACAAGTGGTTGATAAATCACTTTTACTAGTGTTGATGTAATGCCTTAGTGGTTAAAGGCAGAACAATCAGAAACTTCAGAGACATCGCTTCTCTGAAATGAGGAGGCGTGTGGCGCAGTGGTTGAGTGCGTTGGTGATCGGATCAGGGGGATCAGGGGAGCACAGGTTCAAACCCCACTGCAGTAAGCATTTCGTTTTGTCCCTGGGCAAGACACTTCACCCCAAATTGCTCCTGTGGGGATACTGTCCACAGTAGCCTATTGAGTATGTAAGTCACTTTGGACAAAAGCGTCTAACAAGTAACATGTAATGCAGCCTTTAAAAGCAGGAAAAGACAACAGTAACAACAATACGGTATGCAAAATCTAAGACATTACATAGTATTATATCACATTGATATACTGCCCAGCCCTGATTTCAACACTATTATTAAACTGACTGATCAGTCAACATTTTTTCTGAATGGACCAAACTTATGATTGAATTCTGCTGTATTCTGCTGCTCGGTATGAATGGTCCTTTTCGTTCATCAACTCATGGGAGATATTTATAATGTACAAGAAAGTTTATATGACCAAAAGTTCAGCATATGGAATAGCTTGAAAATATACTTATATGATTCACTTTCTTTCCGAGAGTTAGAAGATGATACCACTCTCATGGTAAATACGTTGCTACTTCTAGCGGCTAGTTAGCCTAGCTTACAGCATAGAGACTGGAAACAAGGGGAAACAGCTAGCTAATGAACAAACTCACATTTAAAAAAAATTTAAAACAAGTATTTTGGTATTTTAATAAAAAACTGATTGCCAAGTTTGAACTAAATTCAGTAGAAAGAAAACTCAGCTATTCTATGAAATTTAAAGGTCACATGTCATGGCCATTTCCACTGATCATAATTCCATTGTTGAGGTATACTAAAATAGAAAAATACTGTGCAATTTTCCAAACTCACATTGGTTTCGCATACAGCATCTCTGT